GCAGAACAACCAGTCACTATGATGCACACTGACACAGGGGCAGACCCTCAACCACAGGAGCTGCCCCTGGTGTCAGTGTGCTCCACAGGGTGAGCACCACTCAGCCAGAAGCCGGCTCATGGCTGGTGAGTGCAGCAGTGGTGGCAGGAGCCTCTCCGCCTCCGCTGCAGGCATGCAGTAAGGAGCAAGGGGTCCTGGACTGTGAGAGCCCCAGACCGTGAGAGGGATGGCTGGCTGCCAGCTTAGGCTCGATCCCCCAGAGGAATGGGGCCTAAGGCAGCAAGCGGACATCCCCCAAGGGGTCCGAGACTGCGAGAGGGTGCAGGCTGGGCTGAGGGCCCCCCCTTTCCAGTGCACAAATTTTGTGTACCGGGCCTCTAGTTTTACAGGTAAAATCTCTAGGACTTGGTAGAATATTTTCTTTTAAAATGTAGGTTTTGTTGTTCAGGTGTGATGAGACCCATAGATAAAAAAAAAACGACCATTGATAGTTTGCTACTCACAGTTTCCAAGAGGAGGGGGCACACCACTCAACACAGGGGCAGGGCTGCATGGGGAAGCACCAGGGATCCTCAGGAAGCAGAAGGAGAGAGGGTGAAGCATGGGCAGGAACCTTTGTTGTACTTTCTGTGGGGAAGGCAAGGAAAGGCAAGGTAAGCAGGCTTAACATGGGCTACGTGGAATGATTTCAGCAGGCTCTGGGCCATTTAGGGCTTTCTGTCTTTGTGTGGTACCTGGCTCTGTGATGATAAGGGCAGAGGAACATTGCCTCCTAGAGTATTAAATCAGATAGAGAAGGAGGTTTAGCAATGGGCCTTGGATGGGTTAGTTTGCATATGAAAGGTGCACTCCAGGGCAAATCATTGGCTATCTCTAGGAATTGGCCAGCCCTGGGAGGGGCATTCTATCCTCAGCAGGATGCCCATGCCAGAACATCAAGAACACAGGAAGTAAAGATATAGTTAATATACAATTTGATGAGAGAAAAGAGGAAGCCAAGGAAATTTCCATCTTGGGGAACTGTGTGGGAGCAACACGCTTTTAACTTTCCAGAGAACTAGACTTTATTGAGCAGGTACTCTGTGCCAGGAACTGCTCTGAGACCTTAATGTAGTCTCAATACTCAAAGCAAAGATTGGACATGGGAACTCTTTTCAGCTTAATTTTATAGCTGTGTTGAAAAATTCTATAAGAACATGTGCTCAGTCAGTCCCCTATGGCATGCTTCCTCACACTTGATTTCATATATGTTGGATTGGGGTGCCTGCAGGATATCCTGATAGAATTAGCTAGGGCACAATGCCAGTAACATCCCCATTTTATACTATGTTCTTATATTGAACAGAAACCTATATTGTACTGGCAGCATCCCACACACGTCCTAAATGCCTCACAAATACCAGTTTATTTACTCCCATGGCAACTCTTTGAGGTACATATTTATTCCCATTTTATTCAGATTGTTCACCATCACAACAGGTATCAATTAATGGAATATACAGATGAACCATGCCCTAGGGTAGGCATTTTATGTAAATTAACTTATTTCAATTGTATAAGACAAATATAATTATCTCCATTTTAAAGACCAAAAATCTAAGGCTGAGTGGCTTATATCATTTGACTACTGTCACATGGCTTTCATTCTATGCATTTCATAAATCACAGCTCCTGTTGTGATTAAAACTTATTATTCCATTTTTCAGACCAGAAATGAAGGAAGGCTCAGTAGCTTAAATGACTTGGCCAGTGACCTAACACCATAAATCATCCTGGATTTGAATTTATGTATATTTGAGTCTTCACTCTAATCTTTCCTACTATTCTTTGTCCCACAAATTTTCAAACTATGTTTCACTGGAGCTTTATTTTCAATGAGTGTCATAGATATGAGTTTCTTCCCAAGATTTTGCAAGGTTGGATGGAGCAATGGGCTGAATTGTGCCCTCCCTCCCCTCCCCCCCAGCCCCCTTCCTATGTAGAAGACCTAACCCCACACCTCATAAGGTGGCAGTATTTTGAGATGATAAGGTCTTTTAAAAAATAATCAAGATACAATTAGGTCATATGGGTGGGCCTTAGTCCAATGTGACTGGTGCCCTTGTACAAACCAGAAATTAGGACACAGATACACACAGAGGGAAGAGCACGCGAAGACACGGGGAGAGGATAGCCACCTCCAAGCCTAGCAGAGAGCCTAACAAGGAATCAACCTCTGACGCCTTGACCTCAGACTTCTGGCTGCCAGGACTCTGTGGAATAAAACAAATTTCTGTGGTTGAAGCCACCCAGTTTGTGAGACTTTGCATGGCAGCCCTAGGAAACTGACACAGGAGTTTCCACCACTAAAACATTATAGGAAGGCCGCAGCCCTACACAGTTATGCGGGCTGTTTGATCAGTGGGATTGTTTTCCTAAATTCACCAACGCTGAGGTCAGACTGACTGGGAGAGCGGCCAGCTTCCTCTTGCTGTTGCTCCAGCCATTGGTCTGTAGGCGTTTTTTCTTCTTTTTCTAACTTCCCCTCCCGAGACAGGGGGAATAAATATTAGAGAAACAAAAGTCCAGAATGCTACGGTTGCCACTCTCACTTCCTCTTGCCCCTCACCCAGCGCTGCTTTGAATGCAGCATTTGTCGTGGGGCACGTACAAGGGAGAGAAGACAGCAGTGCCTGGGAGGCTGCTGGGCAGGCGGTTACTGCGCGTCATGCTGTGGCAGGGCCATTTCTGGTGGCAGACAATGCCGGGATAATGTGGCCCACCCGCCTGGCTGGGATGCTGCTCCCAGCCATGGCCTTCCTCTCCTGCCTGAGACCCGAGAGCTGGGACCCTTGCGTGCAGGTATGTGTTCGGGGTCTATTCATCTCCTGGGTGCCTTGTCTTGCTTTTTCAGAAAAGAGTAGAACTTCCCACTGTGGGCCCTGGTTAGTTTCATTTCCAAAAAGGAGTCGAATTACCTTAAAGCCAGGAGAAGCCAAATAATTCAGTTACGAGGCACTAACAGGCAGCCCATGGGATCATTTCCTACTTAGGACTGGAGATCAGACAGACCTGCTGAAAACCACTCTTCTTAGGCTTCTGGGCTGTGTGACCTTGAAGGAGTTATTAAGCCTCTCTGAGATGGTTCTCACATCGGTAACAGAATTGTATCACCTCCTTCAATGGACAGTCGTAAGAAGGCTGCCTCCTGTCATTTCTTTCTGCTGGTGATCTGGGCACTGAGCTTCCAGCAGTCACTGCCCCTTTCAATCTCAGGAAGATGTTTTTTGTCTCTTAACAAGAAGAAACTTTCTATGTGGACTTCAGACTTCTGAATCTAGCCATAGTTCTATCCAAAGGATAAAAAGCAAAAAGACTTTAAGAAAAATTTAAAAAAAGGAGAGATAGAAAAATAGAAAGAGAGGAAGGAAAAAGGAGAGAGAAAGATATAAACTCTCAGCTAATGCAATGGTTTCTTTCTCTGTGAAACACAAGCCCGCTGGTTCGCAATCACATTCACGATGGATCTCTTTCATTTCCACAACTGCCTTGGAAGCTCACAGCAGAACCCCAAAACGCAGAGAATGTCCTGGACTTAGGGTGTGGCAGGGTCAGACACTCAACAAAAGTATAAATTAGGGACATGGGGGAAATAGTGGACTTCAATAGGAACAAGGATGAATTTGTCACCTCAGAGTCCTCTGTTTCCCCAGTTCCCTGCCCCACACCATGTCCTCCTCTCTGACTCTCTTGCTGCTAGGTTGCTGGGAAGAGATCCTCCAACCAGGGTGGTCACCCCTGGATAAAGTCGCAGCCACCCCTGACTCCTCCTTCCCTCATGCCTCATATTCTCTGTCTCCAGAGCCTGCCCAATCCCTCTGTGCCAAGCCAGGGCAGGTCCTCAGGCCTCTGGCCTTCACTCGTAGATAATGACTAGTCTCCTGACTCCATAGCCCCTCTTCCTTTAATGTACTCTGCACATTTTCTGTTCGTTGTTTATTTGTAGTTGTTGTTTTTTTCCTGAGACCTGGTCTAGCAAAGTACCCTCTTTAAAACATAGTAACTCTCCATTGCTCTCGGGACCAGTTCCTAGCACAGG